GTGTAGGAGGTCTGACGGGAGTTGTCTTCACTACACGGTAGTATGGTGTAGGAGGTCTATTCTTGATTGACCTAAAAGGTCTCTCTTCGTAATTTTTGGGAGATTCGTCACTTTCTTCAGGTGGTGTGGAAAGTCCCTTCTCGTAATCCTTGGGAGGTTCAATATCTTTGGGATCTTTCTCGTCACGGTGATGAGTTCGCTTTTTGCTAGGAGACTTGGGTGATTTGTCAGGATCTTTGGGTGATCTCGTCTTTTGAAAGTGTTTGCTATCATTCTTTTCCTCGGAGTTTTGAGGAGCCTTCCTAAGTTGATAATGCATGGATTGCTTCCTGCCGTCTTGAGGATTATTCCTTTCGGTGGGATAGCTAGGCGATTTTGTTGTCTCCTGGTGTTTATGGTGTTTCCTATCGTCACGGTATCTAGAAGAAGAAAAACTTAAAAGAATCTAGAAGCTCTAAAAAACCTTCAAAAACCTGACCTAAAAAACTAACAAAACCTAAGCCAAAAACCTAAACATACCTAGAAGCTGCCTTCTCCTGGGAATGATTAGAAGTTTTGCCATGCTCAACGTTCCTGGCAGAGTTCTCCTCGTCGAAATGTCTCAAAGCTCTCCTGTGACCAGAATGCTTAGGAGATTTTTCATCCTCCGAGCGCTTGAGAGGTTTTTCGGTTTCTTCAGAATGTTTGAAAGGACCTTCTCCAGCTGGATTCTTGCTTTCTCCGTGCGAGTGCTTCGAAGTCCTTCCCTTTTCATCATGTTTGTGTGATTTCTCGTCCGAATTTTTAGGATGTCCGATATTGAAAGGATGTCTCGGAGTCCTTATCACATGATCGCTGCTTCTGCTGCTATCTTCCTTGCAGGATTTCTTATGCTTACGATGTTTCCTGTGTTTCTTATGCCCAATTTCACTAGGATGCCTGGGGGTCTTTAATACTTGGCCGTCGTTTCCATGCTCTTGACTGCTCGCGCCTCCTATGAATGGACTGCTCGCTGAACTGTAAGTTGTGGTGATCGTGCTGGGACCGGTGAGCACCGAGTCAGAATCAAAGCTGTAGCTGGTCGGAACAGGCTCTCTTCTTCTGGAAGTAGGGCGAACCTTCGGACTTCGTCTTCTTCCTTTATCATCACTCCTCTCCGCTTTACGATTATCCGGCTCCGTCTTTTTAGTCGCATCTTCTCCTTGTCGTCTGCGGGGGTATCTATCCACTCTCTCACAGCTTTTCTTTGCGGGACTACTTCTACGCTCACTTCTTCTTTCCCTCTCTTTAATTCTCTCGCTCGTACGTCTATCGACTTGTCTTTTGTATTCATCTCTATGATAATCGTCTCTTCTCCTATAGTCGCTCCTTCGGTCATTGCGTCGCGCACCATATTTGTAGGTATCGACTCTCCTTGGGAACATCCTGTGGAATTCTTTTTTCTTAGGCGAGGCATCTAAAAAAGGGAGTTGAGAGATATACAATCTGTGTCAACAATGTGCTCCCTTTTCCGTAGCAACTACGCATCGCTTCGCGTGGGCATTGCGCAGCGACCTCGGTATGCGCAACTTTGGGCGTTCAGTTGAAGGCAGCGTCCAGGCAAATGTGGACCTATGGGGTTCTCATGTGGAAAGTAATCTTTAGGCCCTAAATAAGTCTCTGCCCAAGCGGCAGCTCCGATACACTCACGGCTAAGATATTGGCCTCACTATACCCCGCAATTATACTCGCATGGATTCATGGCCCGGAACATCAGTTTCGCGCGAAGACCAGCGGGAAACTGAATCCATGTGAATACGATTGCGGGGCATAGTTTAGAGGCCAATATCTTAGCCGTGAGTGCAC